GATGCATGATGTTTCACACATGCTGCCATTGCTAAATTTGTCTTAACTGTAAGCAAGTGCTTGTGCAATGTAACAAGTGATGGCACCACAGCACCAATTTTAGCATACTTTTCTCCTTGCACACTTCCTAAATGGCTGCAAGATATCTACAAGCTCTGGTACTGCAATTTGCTGTATTTTAGGAAAACACGAGATGTGGTAAATCATGTTCATATAACAACTCGTTAAGTTTTACTGGATCAAGCTTATTAACTGCAGCTAGTTGTCGGTGAATCCTACTCCATCTTGTAATTTTGGTGTTTGGAATGGAACAACTTTCACCAAATTTACCTTCAAAATTCTCTTTAAACTGGGTGCTTTGGTATAACAAGCTTGAAAGCTTTGGACATTTGTAAATGGTAGTTCTAAAGCTAACCAACTTCTCCAATCCATCTCTCACAACAGGCTTTATTGTGTGTGCAAACAATGACATTGTCCAAGACTTCTGTGTAAGTTGAGTTATCTCTTCAACTTCATTTTATGCAGTGTCCTCCCACAAAACCTCATTGTCAACTATTGAGATTGTTTGCTCAGTGTCTAGCTGTGCCTCTTTGGGGGATCTTAATTCATTGAACACTGCAAAAACCTTCTTCATATTACTTGCATTAGCTGTTACAAAGTATGTATAAATGAAAAATTGACATATCTAAATGAAAATTTTATTTAGTTTTATTTTGTGTGATGTTTTGAGCAGATGCCTTTAGTCAGGTAGTTAAGACTGTTACAATGGAATTAGGCTCAGAAATAATCATTAAAAGGTAAGATAATACAAAAGTTCTAATTACACATGTTCATCGTGGAGCATGGTGACAAAAATACAGATAAAAAAAATTGTTGAATTTATTACATAAATGTTATTGAAATTAGCAAGAATATGGAAAAAGTAATTAGAACAACTATAATTGGACTTAGAACTATAATCACAAGAAATAATAAATATAACACAGTTTTTAGTGTCTGATGAAGGGCCCCTTGTTCGAAACGTCGCACAAAATAAAACATGATAAAGTTTTCATTTAGATGTGTTAATTTATTCCTTATTATCATCCAAATTTTTCTTCTCACGTCTTGTGGAACAACGCTCATTCAAGAATGTTACGAAGTATGTTACCTTTCAATGCAGCTCATTCTGCTGAAGAGCATTTTTAATGTAGTCTGCAACACATTCACCACTGTACCTACCTTTCAGCTATTCAAAAATGATGAGGCGTGATTTTGGCTCAAATTCAACATGTGAGCAGTTATGACAGAAAGAGTGGCATGTTTAATCTATCCACACATCCCAAGTACATTCAACATGTTGTGCAGTTTGAAGCAATTCCTGTACAGCTTTGGACTTACTTTGATATATTTCAGGAATTAGGTTTGATGCAATGTCGCTTTGAGAGAGAAGTGTCACCTTTGAACTAAGCTCAGAAATAAACTTTCTGAAGAAGTCATTTTCAGCAATAGAAAGTGGAAGGCAGCAGTTGATAATTAGATTCTTTACAAATGACCTAGTAAACCTCTTCTGCTCTGGGTGAGTTCTTGAATACCTTGAGGATCTTGGTTCAAAAAAACGTGCAACAGATAGCTGTGAGATACAAGTTGAAGCAGAATTTAGCTTCAAGGATTTCTCATAATCAGCATGAACAGAAGAATGCTTTATCTTCAGATGCCTTGAAAAGGAAAAGAAATATGAAATTATCTTAATAAATGTGGTGTTGTATTTACTTATTCACATGACAGTAGAACCACATTTTTGGGCAATAACTTACAAGGATATACATGATAAGCATTCACTGCAACATTTTTTGTTAAATTTGTTGACTTTAAACTTAAAATACATTTATAAACATGAATATATTCAAACCACTTTTGTATCTAAATATTCATCTACAGAGAGTCAACACAGTTACATTTCTGGATGATACTCATTGTTCTAATATGCAGTTTTTAAATGTTGTCTTGTTCTTTATTTTCTATATTCACTTTGTGAAACTTGTATTATGATATGCTAGATACTGCTTAAATACTGCTGACGGTCATTTGTGGTGGTTTTATATCTACTACACAGTCAGACACTAAGGAAAAGAAAATGAAAAATTATTAATTACTTTCTATTTGAAAAATTATTATAATGGAAATACTACACTAAATAATAAAAAATTATAAATTCAGTATATATTATTGGGTCATAAAGTTTACTCATTGTACTTCAACTGGCTGTTGTTCAATTCCATGATCATACACTTTAGACTGGTGTAGAAGATATAAAATTTGTTGTTGATTGACACTTATGTGTGATTTTTATTCTGCCACTATATCTGTGCTAGTTAAATATTTTGAAGTTATGGTATGTTCATTTCATAATATTTGAAAAATAACTGTTCACAATTTAGTTAATAAAGGTGTTAAGAATCACTTTAAGTTTATTGAAAAATGACCTTTCACATCTGTTTTCTTCTGAGGATACAATTACAAATAATTGTCAAGATATGTATCAGATTATTTTACTTTCCTATGACACATCACTAACAATGTTTTCAGTTACTTTCAAGTAGCTAAAATGGAATCTTTATTAAGAAAATAGTGTATATTACAGCAAACTGCTATAAATTATTTGTTTAGTCATTTTCCAGCTTTGACCTGTTAGTTTTCAGTACACATTGACTTTAACCAAAAATGCATATTTTGTGCTTTACATGTTTAACGTTGTCCAGCTTTTTATGGAGATAATTCCTGCTATATTTTCCTTAGTATTTTGTTCTTTCTGTTTCCACTAAATATTATATTGTAATGGTTGAAAACTAAAACCCCAAGTACTTAATATAAAATATAACAATTTATTAATAAATAATAAACTGTAAGATGCTCATTGTTAACAGTGTTTGATTAGCAGATTATGACATTAATTAAAAGCAATTTGTAATATAGATGTATTACTAATATTTATTGCTTTTTAACCAAATTTTATTAATATATATCTTATGCTTGAATATTTTAGATTTTTATATAAAGCTAAATTATATGAATAAATTTGATCAAAATCAGTGTTTATGTTTTAAGTTTTTGCTATTTTGTACACTTAATAAAGGTGGAGAAAACTATAAGATATCTTTCAGGAATAACTTTGCTGCAGGTTGCCAGAAGTTTATTAAAAGCTCAGTGAAAAAAGATATTTTCATTGGCCACATTACTGCCTACAATTCAAGAATATCACTCAAAGAAAAGCACAAAGTACTGCACGAATATGCTGTTCATTTCAGTAAAAATTATGCTGAGTGTCACATAGTTATATAGCCTGAGTGTGGCATGCTAGTTCCAATTGGAATAGCCTGACTTCACCATGAAAGTTTAGCATGTTCAAAATGAGTATTTAAAATACTAGATGTTTACATATTTTCTTATCAATTCAAGTGGAAACATACGATAGGTAAACAAAAAACGTTAAGTAGAAAAGACATTTAAAAATATCTAATGATTAACTTTTATAAATAGAAAGCATGTTCAATGAAACTATCTGAATGGATACATTCAGTTTCATTTATGTCCAGCATAAAGAAGTTAGAAGGTAAATTATTCCAGGGGTAAAATAAATTATAAATGTGCTTCAGCAGAGCCTCTTGTTAGTTAACAAATATTTTTACATTGTTGTAGTTGAGTTTAATATGAAAACACTTTCTATTAAGATAAGTTAATTAGGTCCTTAAAAATTGAAAGTTTGGTCCTGGAAATCC